ACTAGTGTGTGAGGTGCTCCAGCACCGTATGACATACATAGTATAAATTTTAGCATTTGTATCAATATGTTATTGAATTTAAAATGTTTCAAATTAGTAATAAACTTTCATTTTGAATTCAATTATAACTGAAAAATTAAATTGTTAACAATTTGATGACGTAGTTAGTGATGAATATGAGATCCAAATCCAATCATATTGTAATCCCTAGACCCAACATGTATGTTACGACTAGATCTAGTGGATTGCATAAAATATCCAAAACATTCTTAATACTTTAAAATCATAATATGTCCAAAACAATAATACATATTTAAGATATCAAACCTAAATACAAAATACCAAATAATCTGTGTCAAAGTAACACAAGCATCAATTTAGTAAGATTCATACAATAGTAAAATAAAATACGTCATAAATTAGTGTATCAAATATACAAATGACATCAAAAACTGTGTCAAAGTAACAAGCATCAATTTAGTGATTCATACATCAATAGTAAAATAAAATACGTCATAAAATTAGCGTACCAAAATAAAGACAGATTGGAAGATGCAAACATTACAACAAATATATGGTACTGACTGTATCAATCATTCAAGTTCGTATTGAATGTGATGATCCTCTATAATTTTTTTTAGTTATGTCCTTATGTATATATAAAAATGTATTTTTATTTTATGTCATATGAGGTCGAGGGTAGGTTTTAACCTTAAAATTGTGTCAGGGGAGCCTTCCTAAACTCAGGTCGATTTGGGTTAGCCAAATACCTGTCCTGGCTCGACATTGCCCATCCCTAGATGCTGTCTTTTTCTTCCTATAAATTTAAGTTTGAGTATCGATGATTCCACTAAACAATAAAATGATTCCTGTTTAGGTACATAACTTTAGATTATGTATCATTTTGGTCCCTACAACTACTTTAGCTGTCGATGTCACTCATTGGTTCAATCAATCGTCATTCACAACGAGATTGATACCAAAATGTTATATTTCACTTCTCTTTCTTCTCCCCGAATTAATTTTTCACGAAGCTCACTCAAAATCAATAAAAATACATCTAAAAGTTTGGCGTCAATACTCTGATCTCATTCGATGATATTCAATGAAAATACATTTAACATTTTTAAAATAAATTTTCAGATACATGTTAAAGTTTTGGGTAAATTACGTGTTTAATACTTAAATTATCAGTTTTGGTTCGTTTAGTTTCTAAACTTTCAATTTTTTTCAAAATTATACCTAAAGTTTAGTTTTTTATTTCATTTTACTTCCACGTCGTTAAAATTTTAGTTTTTGTTTCATTTTAATACCGTTCAAAATTCAATGTTAAGTTTGAAAAAAATAAAAGTTTAAGTACTAAAATAGACCAAAATTGATAGATTAGTACATTTTCAGTCACAACTATTTGACTAAAAACAATAAATGACATTCAAATATTACATTATTCAATCTGTTTGATACCAAACCAACATTGATGACATTTTAAGAGTTGTTTATGAACGTTTTTAAATAATATTGAGAATATAATATGAGAATGTAAGAGTAGAATTATGAACAAAATATATTATTGAGAGTATTTTAGTCTAAAATGATAAAATTATTTATATATAAAATTTAGATGAGAATGATATTCTACCATTTGTTGAAAAAACGAACCGGTGATATCGAACATTTTTTATTAGAAAAAATCCTAATAAACCGAACACGATAAAATAATTTTATTAAAAGATTCCTACCATAATTTTTTGTGAAGAAACGCCCTTAAGAATTAGGTTAAATTACACGTTTAGTAGTTAAATTACCATTTTTGATCCGTTTTGATACTTAAACTTGAAATTTTTTTGACGGAGAACACCACCAGCTGCGCCAAAACCAGTATGGTTATCGATCAAAGCGTCCGTATTGAGGCAATAAACGACGTGCGCGGGCGGAGACCACTGAAGCAAAGTTTTTCGTCATTCACTGGACAAGTGGGAAGAATAAGCAGTTCTCAAAGTGTTTCGACCATGAAAGACTATTATCAGTGAACACTAAACAATTTCGCCTTTTCCAAATTTGCTAGGCGAACGTGGACCATGAAATTCGCTGGTTTGGAAGCTTAGTGTTACACGCCCAATTAGAAGAGATCCAATCAAAAGGATACCCTGAGATTCGGCGGAAGCAATGATTTCCAGGCAGAGGTGCCTGCTGGGCAGTCCCGTATACATGGAGAGGGACTCCTCTAGGTTATTGCAGAGAGGCACGTTGAGCTCATGGATAAACCACGTCGGAACCGCTCCTGATTAGTAAGAAGCTTCTCGTGGAGAATGAGCCAAAGGAGTACACGGATTCTCTGGGAACCGAATGCATTAGTAGTCTTCTTCTTTTTTAATTAATCACTGATTTCTGATTTATAGACCGACTAATCCAGATCAGGTAAAGGCGAGGGCGACCCTCCCATCCTAGTTTTCTCTATTCGCAAACGCTATGATTCAAACTCCTGACATTGCTTAAGGGATCTAGTGCCTCATCCCACTAGATCAACTAAATAATTAGCAAACTTTCAAAAATCATAAAATAATTATTAAATTTATTAAAATATTATAAAATAATTATTTTGTAGCAGCGGTTAATATTCTGTTTAATTCTTCAATCATTATCAAAAATTTATTCTGATATTTTTTTCATTGTTTCTTGGCAACAGCTTAAAACAAATCTAAGAATCTTATATTTCTTAAATATATGAAAATTTAAAACTTTTGAAATATGAACATAATTTTAAAATTATAATGATATAAATTTATTTAAAATTTTAAACTATATACAGTCTCAAAATTTGAATGATAATAACAACATTTTAACCATAAATGAATTTTATTGTTAAATAATAACCACAAAGACACTAAATTAAGGAGAGAAAAACACAAATGCAGTGAGGACATGCAAAAAAAATTCATTGCCAACCATGAAAGTGCCAATATAGAATCCAAATCAACAAAGAGATAAACCACACCTTAGATGATTAGACTTGCAAAAAACTTTCAAATGCTTAATTTCATTAAATTATGTATGCGATACTAATTAAATTATCTATATATTAATTTTATTTGTGAAAATTAAAGGTAATTTTTTTATAAATCGTAAATCTACTCGTAATCTTACTTAGAGAAAAGGAGAAAGAAGACTCCTAAAAAAGGAATAAGACTGCTCCTAAAAAGGCGTAAAACGGAAAGACCCTCAATCCAACGCTAAGATTAACTCCTTATTTTTTCTTAATTAATATATTCTTATTTTCTACTATTAATCTCATCCTTTATTTCTCTCATCCAATTATCCTAAAAAGATGCAAAGTAAAGAGTTTTACGCGGTGTAATTGGAACCCCTCTCTCTCTCTCTCTCTCTCTATATATATATATATATATATATATATATATATTATATGCTACGATTCAATTACATAGTTTAAAACTTCTTAGTTTTTACACTTTTTAGGATCATTAGATGATAAGAAATCAAAGACTGAGATTAACATTAATAAATGAGAAGATATTCACTGAAAAAGAAAAACAAAAAGTTAATCTTAGTCTTTGATTTCCCTCATTCAACTATTTTAAGGTGTAAAACTAAAACTTTTTTTATATACCACTGGTATCTGATTTATTAATCGGCTAAAATTTTTACATTATGTAATTGGATTCTCTCTCTCTCTCTCTATATATATATATATATGTATGTATAGGCCGTGATTCAATTACTGTTTAAAACTTATTAGTTTTTACACTTTTTTAATGATCGTTGGATGATAAAATCAAAGGCTGAGATTAACATTAGTAAATGAGAAGATATCACTGAAAAAGAAAAACAAAAAGTTAATCTTAGTCTTTGATTTCCCTCATCCAACTATTTTAAGGTGTAAAACTAAAAGTTTTTTTTATATAACCACTAGTATCTGAGTTATTAATCTGCTAAAAATTTTACACTATGTAATTGGATTCTTTCCTCTATATATATAACTATATACTAACTTAATTGCACATTAATCAATATTTATGTATAAATTTAAAATTTATCATTTAAAATAATTATAATATTTTTACTAACCCAGGTTAACCTAACCTCAAAGTAAAAAAGAAAAATTAGTAGCAACTGTGTGTCATATAAATTTTTACTCTATTTTCTTTGTAGATATTTCGACATTTAAAACTCCAACGAAGAGATGAAACAAAGATGACAATTGAAAACATCATACATCTTATTACCAATATGTATTAAAATTTATGTTTTACTAGAAAAAGAATTTTACAAAACTTAACAAGTTGCAATAGAATTCACTTCAAGGTATTATACTGCCAATTGCATTCGATATGTTTGTACAAAACTTGCCAAAATGCATCAATGGTGACCTAAAATCTTTAAATCTCTAGTAGCTATCTTCTTCTATAAATACCTTTGCATATCAATCTTGTGCATCACCACTTACATTTCATGTAACATAAGGTACTTGTAAGCACTTAATGGAGTAAAGTCTTATGATTTCTCTTCCAATTATGGCTTCCAAGGCTTTAACACCAATAACTTTTATTCTTTTTCTCAATTTTTTTCTCTTTACATTAGTATGTTCTCAAAATTCTCCCTCCCAATCCTAGTAACCGTCGTCCCCCTCCCCCTCCTAGTAACCGTCGTCCTCCTCCCCCTCCTCCACGGCCACCACCTCCCATTGAATCCTTCTCTCTCCACAATTCCCGCCCTGTTTACCTTTCCCTCCGAATAAACCTCCTTCTCCGAACACGCCTCCTCCCCCTCCTCGTACAACCTCCTACCCCTCCACCTACTCCCCCTCCTCGCGCACCTCTTCCCCCTCCCCTGCTCCTACTCCCCCTCCTCGTACACCTCTTCCACCTCCCCTACTCCCCCCTAGCTCACCTCTTCCCCCTCCCCCTGCTCCTACTCCCCCTCCTCCACCTCCTATCCTCCACCTACTCCCCCTCCTCGCGCACCTTTCCCCCCTCCTCCTCCTCCTACTCCCCCTCCTCGCGCACCTCTTCCCCTCCCCCTGCTCCTACTCCCCCTCCTCGTACACCTCCTACCCTCCACCTACTCCTCCTCCTAGCGCACCTCTTCCCCCTCCCCCTGCTCCTACTCCCCCCACCTACTCCCCCTCCTAGCACACCTCTTCCCCCTCCCCCTGCTCCTACTCCCCTCCACGTACACCTCCTACCCCTCCACCTACTCCTCCCCCTCCCCCTCCCTCTCCCCCCCCCCTCCCCCTCCACCTCCACCTCCCCCTCCACCTCACCTCCACCAGCTACCTGCAATAGAAATACCCCAAACGTAAATACTTGCATTCGTAATGTGACCACCATGTACCTCCTATTGTTTTCGATCCCAAAGCCTAACCCAAACAGCACTGTTGCGCCGCCATTGGTTTCACTGATCTTGAAGCTACTCGATGCCTTTGTGATTATCTCAAAGATACACTCCCACCCAAGTACCGCCCTCCATTAACGTTTACCTTACTACATAATCACACTCTGCGGAAAAAGAGTACGACCACCCCTTTTCAGATGCGTGTGAAGCCAATCTACTGAAATATGCCCATCATCCGTCGATCACTACTTAGATCGTTAATTTCAATACACATTTTTAGTTTATGTTTAAACTCTGTGGATTGTTTATGGCTAAGAACATACCATGAACGATCATTAGAAATCTTGAATCTTACAATATGTTTTAAAAATCAACGTATCTAAAAGTGTACGTGTACTATGTTATGCATGTGTAAAAAATGGTGGTTGTTTGTGCTTAAGCATAATTACTAAATTAGTTACGTTTCTGATTACATATGCTTTGGTTTCTTATCAAATAAACAGGTTACCAGCCAACCATCAACGGGAATGGGATAAATGGACAATTAGTGATCAAATCACAAAATGGAAAACTAAAAATTAGTTGAATGTATATTTTCATTTATAGTCCTCCTGTTAAAGAGAATTGACAATTTTATAGGATAATTTTAATTTTATTTCTTTCTCTACCTAAAGAAAATCAAGATGAGCAATTAAAAAAAGGAGGACCTACTTATACTATTATAAACTGATTGAGTTCCACTCATATTCACACATTTTTCTATGATTAATATTTTAACAATTAAACTCTTCAATTTACTAATACAATTACGCTTGTCGTGCATATTGATTTTTAAATTAATCTAATACTTTTATCATGTCGATTCAAAATAATATATATTCAATTGTTGAAAACTTCTTGCGTGAAACATATGATTAAAGTTTTTAATTTACTCAAAAGTTAACAGATAATCCACGTGAATAAAACATTAAATTTAACGGTTAATTTTTTATATATAAAAATACATAAATCTCGTTTAATTTTACATTAATGTATATTACATTTTGATTTCCCTTCATTATATAAATAACTATCAAAAGAAACACAATCTTTAAGATTAAATATTATCATAAATTTGAAAGTTTTCAAAACTAATTTCCAACCACGATTGTTTGGACACTAAATAAGCAATCCACAAATTAATTAATTTGAGAAGTAATTAGACGTGTTTACATATATGTGATTATCAACAAATTAATTAAAAATTAAAGAGGCTGGCCCTCATCCATATGTATTTACTTGTTCTCTGCTTATAAAAAAAGTAAGTAGAAGTTTTCTCTCATTTTTTTTTATCTTTACTGATCGGCACGACATTAACTTTGTTAGTTACCGACCGTAGTATTTTTATTATCCTTTTGTTTTCTTATATCACATCTTTATTTTTTTATATAAGTCTACTTGTATGATATACATTTTTATATACTTTTATGACGTGTTTTCCTACAACTTTTGACATGTTTTGTTTCGTCGTTGTTTTCATTTATCTTTTGAGATTATTTATTAAATTATAGATATCATTATAAATATTTTTATTTATTTATTTATAGGATGATCCGATTAAAATTTAAAATTTATTTTCAAATAAGCCATGTCATATTTGTCAAGAGTTCATAGTAATTCACATATTGGACTTATAGTATTCGATCTGAATTAGTCAATTAATAATCGTACATGATTATACAAAAATAAAATTTCAAATTTAAGAATAAAATCTTGTTTATTTAAAAACTTAGTTGGAGTTCATCGTGCCCGTAAATATTGAAAAGTAGATTCTTAATTTAGATTTTATTTTATTAATGTTTGATTGATTTCTTTATATATATATATAAAAGGGAAGATGCTCTCATAGGCCTCATGAAAAATCCCCTAAACCTAATCGGAGAAAAAAATTACTCATAGTAGCATTTACAATAATAAACTACAAGCGAAGCTCACCAAGACAAACATAGTCAAACAAACGAGATCACACAAACTCGATAAAATCTGAAACAAAACAAAATCTTTAACTATCCTATCCACTCGGATCTACTCACTGCGTATTATGTGAGTTTCTAAACTCACACCTTTCCTGGTTTGTCTCTCTCTCATTTGGATCAGAAATGGGACATGAAACGGCTCTTTCCTGAGCATCGGAAGCACCTCAATTGGAGGTTCCTCAAAGCATTGCTCACCAATCGGCAAACCACGGCACAATGCTGCTAACGTATTTGAAGTTACGTCGGCCAAAGCTAATTCTCACTTCCCAGACAGCAGCTCCAGCGATTCCTCTACTAGCAAATCATTTACTTGGCTGGTGGAACGATTGTTAAGAAGCCGAACAACTTCCATATTATTCGACTCAAGTTCAATTCGACGAAAATCCATCTGCCAAACATGAGAGCATGTAAAAACAACCCATAATTCAGCCATAAGGATAGAACCTTTACCCAAACTTTTAGTGAAGCCAAACAACCAATCTCCTGACTATTTCGGAGGATGCCACCCACGGCAGCATCGTTGCTCTGTAAACCACAAGCTCCATCCACATTCGCCTTAACCTAACCAGCGGGAGTTTTCCATCGTAAGTTGTCAGCATTCATAGATCGTGACCCACCACTCCCATTGACATTGCGGTTGCATTACTTGCTTTAAATTCCTCAGCTAAACAACGAGAGCGAAGCACCAAATCCTCCTTCTCGACAAAGTTTTTTTCAAACAAAACATTACAACGATGCTTCCAAAGCTGCCGATAATAGTTGAAAAAGGATATTCCAATTACTTTAACAACAATAAAAAAACAAACAACAAATGTCGAATAATAATTAACCAAATAAGAAGCAGTGACTAAAATATTTTTTATAAATGTCATGGCCAAAATCGAATGTCATCACAAACATAACGTAATATATAAACTAGTGATTAAATAAAATAATTAAAACTAGAGGCTTGAAATAAAATAGCATAAATTTCATTCAAAGACAATGTACAACAGTAAAAAAATATGGGGATTTACCCCAAGTATGAAAACACGTTGAGGGGGCTGCGAAACGGTGTCGTTTCTTGTTGCGTATTTAATCCTCAAAACAGCTTACTTCTCCGTTTCCCCATTCCTCTCTTTCACAGAAAAACAAAGAGAAAGAGTCCAGACCTCTCAACCCTCCCCTCGGGAAAAGAAGGCCACAGTGGAGCTCGCGGTGGCGCTGGCGGCCGGAGGAAGCCAAAAGGACCCAAAAACTTTCCTCTCCTCACCCCAACACGAAGCCAAAAGAATTTATATTTTGATATAACAAATAAAGGCAAATGTTTGCTGGACTAAATTAAATTTATTCAAATTTTCAAAAATAATTCAAAGACCAACTAAATTTGAAAGATATGTGTTCAATGTTTCTAAACTTATCAAAACTTTAAAATGAGTCTTTTAAGTTCAAATTATATTAAAAATATCTTTTAAATACTTTAGAATGTTTTTCCAAATTATTGTTTTTCTCAAATGTCAAAAACTATCATTTTAAACAGCTTTGACCAGAAATTTCAAAACTTATACAAGAGTTTCAAAACTTTCCAAGACAATAGTCCAAAAAGTTTCGATACTTTTTAAGCGTTTCGAAACTATCTCAAGAGTTTCGAAACTATCTAAAGAGTTTTGAAACTATCTCAAGGGTTTCGAAACTTTCCCTAAAGTTTCGATACTTTGGCTCCAACGGCCATATTTTTCCAATGGTCTTTCGAAGAGTTTCGATACTTTCCCAGAGTTACAGAACTTTGTGTGCAAAATGTCTTCCAAAGGCTCCAAACATTCCCAAACGGCTAGTAACTCATTCCAACATATAAAACAAGTTCAAACACTTGAAGAAGGTGAACACACCTATCCAAGCAATCAAAACAAGAGAAAGTTTTTCATTCTTTATTTCTCTTTCTCTTGTAAATATTTGTGTTTTTTGTGAGCTTTAATTTGTAAACACATTCCTTTTTAGAGGTTTTCCTTGTTACAATTCTTTCCTTTGTAAAGAGGTTTTGGTTCTAGATTAGCCTTTGAAAACTAAGGAGTTTGTAAAAGTTATCTATTTATCCTTGAAAAGAAAGAATAAATTAGTGGGTTTGTTGAAAAATCATAAGTGAGGAGCTTAGTAGTGGATGTAGACTTCATTGAGGGAGTTGAACCACTATAAATCATTGTGTAAAGTTTCCTATCTTATTCTACTTACTCCCTAAACTCAAAAACCCAATTAACCCCCTCTTGGCATATTTCGGTTGATCGACGAGCTTCATCGAGCCCAACATAAACAATAGGAAATGAGAAGATATTCACTAAGGAAAAAACAGGGTTAATCTCAACCATTGATTTTCCTCAATCTAACGGTCGTAAAGGGTGTAAAACTAAATTTTATACCAGGTGTAATTGGATCCTAACCCATATACATTGTTTTAAACTTTTCCAGTTTTACACATTTTTTGACCATTGGGTTGAGGGAAATCAAACGCTGAGATTAACAGTATGAAATGAAAAGATATTCACGGGTAAATAAAACAAGGACTTAATCTTAGCCGATTTCTCTCATCTAATGATCCTAAAAGGGTGTAAAACTATAAGTGGATCCTAATCCATATGGGAATCCAACTAAATTGTGTAATTTTTTTTTAGTTTTACATCTTTTTAGGACCATTGGATGAGAGAAATTAAAAGTGAGATTAACCAATAAAAAATAAAAAGATATTCTCAGGAAGAAAATAACGAGTTAATCGCAGTCTTTGATTTTCCTCAATTCATTGTCCTAAAAAAGTGTAAAACTAAAAGAGTTTTACATAATAAGTGAATATATATATATATATATATATTTATATAGATATATATATCTATATATATATATATATATATATATATATCCACTTTAATTTGAGATATACACATAAATCGCTTTAGGATCTTGATTCAATATTTAAAATTATTTTCAAAATATTCATTCAATGTTCAAAAGTATTAGGAGATACTTGATACAAATAAATTTGTAAAATATTTGACAAGTCAGATTTTATAAAGAATCAATCGAATACTTTCTTACATCAAAAGTCATTTAAAATTGATTAAAATAATAATTAGTCAAGAAAATCACACTTAA